CGAAGGCGAGTGATATAATCCCACGAGCCAAAAAACACTTTTCCCACGAGTATCGAACGATATTTTTCATCACAATGTGCGGAAAAGGGACGTTTTAGGCACGCGAAGCGTGCCTAAAAAGTTACTTTTTCGCACAGCGTGATGAAAAAAATATTAAAAATGTCTTAGCGGTCAAAGGTATTTTCTAATTTTCTCAACTATCGGACCAGTCGTTCATCGGTAATTCTATTGTATATGGAATATTTAAATTCGTGTGAATGAATAGTTGAACATTCACATATTCTGGAATATTTCCACATGGGAAAATATATTTTCTATCATTCATCGCCTCGGTCAATTGATTTATCTGTTACTCAAATAAGTATGATAAAAACTGTGCAGTATATCAATAATTGGAGATAAATTCTAGCCATTTTGAAAATCGAACATTTAGAGCATAAGGTGAATATCCCGGTAGCTAACTCTTTAAGGAAGAGTCGATGAAAGAACGTGCATAAAAATAAATTCGGTTATATTGGTCATAGAGGAATTATTCTAGAGGACTATCCAACTTTATTTGACCGAGAACAATTATTTTTAGCTATAAAATTTATTATGTAAGAGCTATGTCCTAGTAGTTCAATCACAAGTTATTGTCACGGAAATCTACACTTAATAATAAATATCGTTCATTAAATAATAGATTGGTACGAATATTATGACATATGGATCATCATCATGACATTATGCAAATGGAAGAAACATTCAGTAAGTTTTCTCAATAAAATAACACTTCAGATTCCAGTCGGTAGGTGTGCAGTCTCTAAAATTTCTCTTTAGAGGAAAAATTTAGTTTGAAGAGAAAAAAATTTCTGATTATTTTATTCACGTGGACTGAAGGATTTTCGATAGTTTCACTTATGACAATATCTCATACGTGTAACAATACGAAACTTAATAGTGAAACAATGAATTCAGCTACTCGGACATAGGTTAGGCCTGATGGTCCAATACCTGAATAGCTATTTATTGGCATAAAAAATTGTTTTTCTCGAAATTTTTACTACTTTTACGAAAGTTTAAGTCAGTCCCTGCTTGATGAATTGTTTAACTAATTTTTCAATACTCACATGACTGAATGAATCACTATCATTTGATGAGTCACCTCTTAGCAGTTGACACTAGGAATCGGACCGAAGGGAGCAATTTAACTGGGAGTATCAACTTGAGTTGAATCCAAATTTTTTTGGCAATTTTCCCCATCCAAATTTCAGCCAATAGGATTGCCCTATTCGACTGTTTTTTATATAGTCAACACGAAATTCAACTGACAATTTCCTCAATTCTGATTTTGACCAATCAGAGTGCAGTATTCGGAGTCACGTGACGCGTTTCACACTGATAATTTCCCTGTAGCCTGTCAATTGTTTTCTACGAATTTGACAGATATTTGACTCACATCTTGATGAAATGTGTCCCGTAACCCCGAACACTGCACCCTGATCGGCCAAGATCAGAATTGAAGAAAATGTCCTCCGAATACCCCTCGACCATCAAAATTCAGCGGATATTTCCCTCAACTTTTCCTGCATATCAACGATCTCGATCAGCTTTGCAGTAAGATCCCTCGCGCTGCGCGCTAGGGATTTTAATCTGCGAAACTGATCCCTCTCGTTGCTATGCAACAAAACATTCGGGGAATATCCGATAATTTTGACGGTCTTGGGGTATTATAGCTGATAATTTTTTGATAATTCAACTGGTAATTTTTCACGTTGCCTTCATGTCTATGAAAAACAAAAGATTTACCGGTCGATTGAACCCTTCGTTGGAGCTGACAGATGGAATTTGTCTCATAGTGCGATGTAAGGAAAATTTGTCAAATGGAAAAATTGTCAAATGAGAATGCGAAAGGGGCGCCGGTAGTGACGCCACGGTGTATTGTTTTTGGGGTAAAGAAGAGTTTTCAAGTTAGAATTGTATAGATAAATTCAAAATAATATTTAGAGTAAGATAATCAATTAGGGAGATATCTCAAGCACATTGAATTATACGATATCATAGGGGCAAAATGGATATTTTCTGACCTCATTCGGTTTCTTCGGGGTAAAATGGGTCTTTTCTGAACTCCTACGATTTCATGGGGGCAAAATGGGTTTTTCGGGTACTCCTACGATTTCATGGGGGTAAAATGGGGATTTACTGACCACATACGATTTCGTTCGGACAAAATGGGTAGTCTGTGAACTTTTACAATTTCATTGGGGCAAAATGGGTATTCTGTGAACTTTTACGATTTCATTGCGGTACAATGGGTATTTCGTGAACTCATACGATTTCTTAGGGGCTAAATGGGTATTTTCTGACCCCATACGATTTTACTCCTACGATTTCATGGGGGTAAAATGGGTTTTTCGTGAAGTTATACGATTTCATAGGGGTAGAATGGGTGTTTCGTATACTACTACGATTTCATAGCGACAAGATGGGTATTCTGTGAACTTAATAAAAGTTAATATAACTTAATAAAACTCATCACTACATACATAAATTAGATATGACATGCATATCATCACGATTTGAACCACGACTATCTTCACAACTACACCGTGAAGAGATGTAATAACTTCATTCTTGTACTGTATACTGATCCATTGCAACTGTGATTCATTGAGGAAATAAGGGATTTAGGGGACATATCCTACCAGACAGGTAAGTCTTTTATATTTTTCTTTTAATAATATCATTATGAATCTCTTTCGTAATTTTAGTCTCGGTCACAATGCTTCTGTGTATTAATTATTCATTCTTTTCCAAGTCGACAATTATTATCGAAATTATTATATTCTGTTATTATTATATAAATAATTTTAGTAGAAAAACGTACGGCATTACAGTACCGCCAGGAAATGGTGTCGTTATTTTGGCGGTTCTACGGAGATGTTCCTCCATATTTCCACGCTTTTCTGTGGAATCATTTCTTTCTATTTCCTACAAAAAGGAACTAATACCTCGTATAAAAAATGCCGGAGGGAATAGCAAATAATTACGTTACAATTTATTCTGAGCTATTTCAACATAGCTTAAAGGTACCTTTATTAGAACCATTTGCACATATTTTGTAAATGCTTCTCAAATTACAGGCTAAAGGTTGTATAACATTTCCTCAAGGGATTGCAAATTTCAACTTTTCAGATAATTTTCAGACATCTCAACCTATCTTTCGGATACAATATCTTCAAAACTTTTTACGGAAAACTTCTGAACATTTCAGAAGATTTTTGAAAAAATAACTTATTAATCTTATAAAAATTTTCTTTACGGATTGCGTATAAAACCCTGTAGAATTTACTACAGGGTAGAATTACTGTAGAATTTACTGATATTTGTATAGGAATATTTTCTATACCATTTATTTCTATACATAAATTTTGACGTATTTCTTTTGTTTTCGTACGAAAGATATGTAAACGCTCTAGAGAAAAACGTAGAGAAATGGTACATCTCCATATGAAAAGTTTATATACATGAGGCAGTGTGTCGTATAGGATCAAACCTATAGAAATCGTATAGAAATAATTTGTATTCAAAATATCCGTATCAAAATATACGAATATCATATGCGAAAATCATATATAAATTCTATACGCAATACATTTTACCCCCATGAAATCATATAAGTTCACGAAAAACCCATTTTGCCCCCATGAAATTGTATGAGGTCAGTAAGTACCCATTTTAGCCCAATGAAATCGTAAAAGTTCATAGAATATCCATTTTACCCCCATGAAATCGTAGGAGTATACGAAAAACCCATTTTGCTCCCATGTAATCGTAGGAGTACAAAAAAGACCCATTTTACCCCTAAGAAATCAAATGAGGTCAGAAAATATCCATTTTGCCCCTATGATATCGTATAATTCAATGTGCTTGAGATATCTCCCTAATTGATTATCTTAAACTAAATATTATTTTGAATTTATCTATACAATTCTAACGTGAAAACTCTTCTGTATCCCAAAAACCATACTCCGTGGCATCACTACAGGATGGCGCTCCCTTCGCATTCTCATTTGACAATTTTTCCGTTTGACAATTTTTCCTTACGTCAACACGTCCCCGAGGATTAAACCGTAAGGGAGAATTCCTGTCAATAATCGCGTAGCTCGATAATATTTTGGCCCAAACACCGAAAATCTCTAGGTCCCCGATAGCTAACTTATTCAAATTCCAAACACATGTCACAAGAATATTACCCGAAAAAAATCATACCTAACCGTCAATATATTCGAAACGTGAAACAATCACCGACAGATAGCTAATACGAAATTCTGCTTGGCAAAAATTATTTACAATAAAGGCTCCGGGTCTTTTTCTGATTCACGCTTAATCCAACGTTCGCAATGGTTTCTGGATCGCCTAAGGAATTCCCAGAATTTCTTACACAATCCCCGGACGAGGAAAAGTGAAGATCAGTACGGAAAAATATATACTTGCAAATTTCTACATGAGATATTTCAATAGCATGACAGGTATGTGAAGCAATTAGGTCCTCCAACCATTCGTCCACTATACCAAGCGTATTGGGCGGGAGTTACGTCGTCGAACATGGATCAAATGACGAGGATGAAGGACACGACAGCTGATATTATCACTAGCTATTCCAAATCGCCCATCGATGCTGTTCGTTATTGCTAGTACGGAAAATATTTAGAAGAAGATTCACGGAAAAATACAGAATAGTTTGAGGAAGAAATGCAATCGACTTTTCAAAATTACCTGCTTTGACATAAAACCTATCGAATTTATTCCCATTCGCGGCCGAGGAAGGAAAATATCCGTAGCACTAAGTAATTAGTAATGATACACGGTTTATGTGTTCAATTAAATCGTTTGATCATATTACTTCGAATGACAGGAAAGAGGAGTTTTCCGCTTTGGAACCGGTTTCATTGAAGGAAGATTTCAATCTTCCATCCACCATTTAATGTTCAGTCTTTTATTGTAAGCTTTCAGTTGAGACTCGTGGTTGGAAGTGATAGCAATGCTTCCATCTGCATCACAATAGGATCGGGAATTTAATCAGTTTTATTCCGAAAAAAGTGAAAATGGCAAAAAATTTCGCAGGCACTGTGTCGATTCTTCTCTTTTCTTTCTTAGGAGAATCAATGATTGCGGCAAATGATACCAAGCCGCATATAATTATTATCGTTGCCGATGATTTGGTAAGAATAATGATAATAATAGTAATCCACTATTGCAACATGGTGAAAGTCCTAGAATTAATCAATCGGGTATTTACATCTTCATGATGCCTCACGTTAAGGGGGAATAGTTACGCTTTTATGAGTGAAACCATTCAAGAAAAACGGCATCCTTAGCAAAAAAGATACCTTAGTTTATCTGGTCAGAAATGAAGAAAAACGCAATGCATACTTATCCACCAATGACTGGGCTTGACTGTTGAACCATCTCATGCATCTGCGTTATAATTGCCCGAATTTTCCAACAAAGAAAAAATCGATTTCACCCGCAACTGGATAGAGTGAAGTACATTTCTAATTAAGTATAATATCATTTTCTTTGGCTTACATATTATTACAATCAGACTGCCCTAACTATTATAGGTGTCAAATGAAGATAATTGATGAAATTCAACAATTGATCGATTGAATGACCTATATTACATCAAACGTGTAATCTCCAGAGAAAGATTTTCTAGAAAGATTTCTTTTGTAATTAAAGAAATTTTCTACAAAAATGATTTTATAACATTTGCTTATGAATTCTCATTACTGATATAATATAATGATTATTGTCAATGAAAAATCATAACGCTGCTTTCACCTCGGGAGAATGCTAACTCGTAATCCTATTCTAAAAGACACAAGCACATTTTTATCGATATATCGAAAGTCTGTCATCTCTTTTCCTCATTTCTCATTGGTTATTGTCATTATCGATACATCATCATGGTCGATATGAGCATTAACGGCGCGTGAGTTTGAATTTTTTCGCACTCTTCATTCCTACTTATTTTTTTCAGTAGGATAAACGTATTAAATTTTAGTCTTGACTTTCGTCCCTATTTTTTCAACACAAGATGTATTTTCTTTCGATTAAACTTAAACGAGAGGAAAACTCAACATTTGTGTAGAGAAATCATTTTTATGCATAGAAAAAAATATCTCTATTCACCCACGACTGTTCAAAAAGATAGATGGCACTATAAATGTAATTCATTTCCGCTCGCATTTATTCGGTACGTTGAAACGAAAAAAGTGCAAGTGAAGTTTCATGTGTTCTGCTGAAATCCAGATCTAAAAATGACAAATGAGATGAATCAATTCACTTCTAGCGAAACGATCGCTAATTTTGAGGATGGGGATACATGCGTGTAAGTATCTTTATATCTCAGAGTTTGTGTGAAATTGATGGGTAAACTGATGAGCACCAAGAAATTATCATATTTTTTCCAAGTTCCTGACATCAAACATATTCAAATTCTCAAAGATCACACAGCCACTCTGGAAGAAATGTCAGAAGCCATCATATCAGCAGCTTCTAAGCGTTATTCCATCAACAACAACAACGATGGATTACCAAATCCAAAACGCAGCCGAGATGATGGGAAAAACAAGCTCAAAGAAGATCAGAAGACGAGAACTTCACAAGAAGATGAGAAAATGTCATTCTCATCGTAATATCTCTGCCGGAAGAGGAGAGAACTATCAGTATTTATTGCGATATGGTAATTTATGAAAACATTGTTATTTATGAAGTGATTAGATTTATGATGCATAATCACTCTGAAAATAATGACTAGATTGAAAAGAGATTGGAAACATGTTTAGTTATCAAGTGATTTGCCTTGATGTCCATTAAACAAAATTTAGCAAAAATCTTCATAACTAATAATAAGTAGACTGGTGGAAAAGAGATTGTTTTTTCGACTAAAAATCACTCTAAAAATGATGACTGAATTTAAGAAAAATAAAAAGAAGCGAGGGGGGATTATGTTTGTGATTGAAAATTATTTAAAAAACAATGACTAGATGACTATAAACAATTACTAGATTGAACAAAATATATAAACAAGTTTTTAAAGGTAATATCTTTTCAAGATATGACGTGCCTTATAACAACAACCTCACAAAAAAAAAGACGAAACATTGTTAAGGATATTTCATTCATAGTAACTAGATTTCATAATGGAGAGATAGGGCAATTTCGAATATTGTATTGACTTAATTTGTCTAAAACAGTGACTAAATTTTGAAAAAGAAATGACCAAAATATTTGTAAAAATACGTAATAAATTATGAATAAATAAAAACAAAATATCTCATAAATAAAAAAAACATGGTCGAAAAGAAAAAAACATGACAACACTAAACTCCGTTGGAATATCGATGATATTTATCTCATCTTTCTACGTCATTATTTTTTTCCATTAGAGAAATAAGACAGAAAGACTAAATGCTAAGTAGACTCGAATCCATGAGATTAAAACACGTGAGCTGGATTTCATCCATAATTTTAAATTGAATACTATTACTCAGTGAAGTATTCTTTATAATTAAATGAAAAAGGACAATTTTATATTGAAATAAGGTAGTTGTATTTAATTTCGATGACAACTTAAACGAAGTACATAGAATTGACCGAAAGACGATTTTAGTCAAAGCCGAATAGTACAATGTAACTGTTAAATGATCAAAAAACGTTGAAGGTACTGAAAAAAGCACAGTTATAACTAATAATATGAATCTTTTGCAATTCCGTGTCACTTAAGACTGACAATACTTATTAGTATTGCCATTCAATTTATTTATCGCTAAATTGTCATTCACTTGCATGTGGTTCTGAAACCTACTTCATTCCCTTTAAATTATGTTTAGTTTGCCTGTTGGCCAGTTTGTTTGTTCATAATAACCCACTCCACTTTCCTTGAAAATAAAGAATGAAAATTTTCATATAATGACCAAACTAAGGGTAAATATCTATAGATTTTTTTATTTGCGTAAATTCTTCGACTTTCAATCAATTCCTAACGGCAAATTCCGTTTTAGCGCACAACATAAGTCAGTTGACACACATGAAATCTATCGACAGTTTCCAAGAAACTTTGTCGCTCGGTGTAGAGTCGTCCTTTTCCTGTTCAACGTGGAGAGTGCTAAATAAAATCCAACGTATTCATCAATAGCCACTATTGGAACACACTTATTATCACTATTCTCATGAATTGTTGACAAAAAATAGAAGAGTTCTGATATTTGAAAGTGGAATAATAAAGGCTCGAATTGCATTTTTTCACCAAGCAATCAATGTCCATTTGATCAGAAACAAGTGCATTTAAGAAATCACGGATGTCTGAAAGATTTTACAATGGAGAGATCATAAAGAGATTATGATTTTAACATTTGTCATGTGAGAGATTAAAACTTTGTAAAAATGAAGACCCCTATGATAGGCTCTAACCTCAAATATTAATTCATTTTCAGAAATCAAGTGTAACCGATCCGGTTCATATTTTCCACTGCCGGATAATTACTGGCGTTATTGGTTCCGGCAGGCGTGGACTCAAGATAAATCATTCAATCTTAGTTTTGAGGCTTTCGCGGCCATGATTAATGACATCTTTGGCTTCCGGATGGATGCCGCGTTTGGATTCAGCGTTGGGCCGACGTTTCGCAAACATTACAGTCTGCATCTTCAGGGCTATGAGCTCCAATTCTGAGCTCCGATGTCTAGAGGTAGTCCTTATATGCCTTCCCGTGGGGTGGTGGGGGAAGGGGAAGGGGGGGTGGTCAGCCAATCATATGTTTTTAATTGATCAGCTGGTCAATGTGGTTCTGCTTGACCTTCCGAATTTGTTAGATGTTATATCCATTCTTGGTCAGAACTATCTCAAGATGTTCAACTTCAATGTCAACGTTGGAGAGTTGAAAGATTGTGAGTACTCTATACATTAGGGAGCTAATAACGGAATTCTCCTGGGAGGGATGGTGATGGGAGGTAGCATTGAGATACCTATCTGTGTGGGTTGGCTTGCGATATACTTGGTGACCTAGAGTACCGTCCTCGTTGCGTCAAACCAGGACATCTAGGAATGGAAGACATCTATCTTGTTCAATTTCTATAGTGAACTTGATGCTCACGTGCTGAGTATTCAAGAACTCCAGGAATTGAGTTAGAGCAGTCTTTCCATGTGGCCTGATGACAAAGGTATCGTCCACATACCTAAACCTCACAGTAGGTTTCTGAGGTGCTGACTTCAATACTTCGTTCTCGAAGTGTTCCATGAATATATTTGCAATAATCGGGGGAATGGAAGAACCCATTGCCGCTCCCGATTTCTGCTCATAGTACTCTCCTTCGAACTGAAAATATGTAGAAGTCAAGCAATGCTCAATTAATGGAAGGAAGAAATGTTCTTGGATTTCTTGATGATTTCCAAGGTTTCTGGGATTGGGACGTTAGTGAAGAGTGATTCTACATCAAAACTCACTAGGATATCTTCTGGAGAAGTCCGGAGATTTCTCAGTTTGTTGACGAAATCTAATGAGTTCTGAATATATGAACCATTCAGGCCAGTCAACTTTTGGAGTGGTTTCGTGAGAAACTTGGCCAGCTGGTACGTTGGCGCTCCAATGTTGCTGACAATGGGACGGAGAGGAACAGACTCTTTATGGATTTTGGGGAGTCCATAGAGTCTAGGAGGAAAGGATTCTTTAGGGGTGAGGAATTTCGTCAGGTCAGTCGAGAAACCAGCCTTCTTCAACAGATCAGCAGTTTTTCGCTCAATTGTATGAGTAGGGTCCTTCCTAAGTTTAACGTAAACTCTGGAGTCACCCAACATCGTACTGAGCTTACCGGAGTAGTCGTCTTTATCCATAACCACCGTAGCATTGCCTTTGTCTGCCGGAAGAATAATCAGATCATTATTCTCCTTTAAACTGCGCAGTGCGAGGGGTTCCTCCCTGGTAATATTGTCACCTTCGCGGCCATGATTAATGACATCTTTGGCTTCCGGATGGATGCCGCGTTTGGATTCAGCGTTGCGCCGACGTTTCGCAAACATTACAGTCTGCATCTTCAGGGCTATGAGCTCCGATTCTGAGCTCTGATGTCTAGGGGTAGTCCTTATATTCCTTCCCTTGTGGTGATGGGGGAACGGTAAGGGGGGGTGGTCAGCCAATCATATGTTTTTAATTGATCAGCT